ACAGTAGTGGCATAGTGGTTAGGGTGGGGTAGGGTGGGTGGCAGCGACATCAGTGGTGGGGGTTAAGGGTGGGGCATCATGAACAATAGTAGCATGATCGTGGTGGGTGGTGATGAAATTCAATTCCTTCTATTATGCCAAGGAATGATGAATTCATTAACTTGTGAAATTCAATGGAATTTGAAGGATTCCATCCATTTCAAGAAATGAACCAAACAAAATAATTGGAATTTGGTCAAAAGAATTTGTCATTTCAATTCCATCAAATTCCTTCGAATTCCGCGAACCAAACGACCCCTAAGGTTCTTAGAAATAGATTGTGCCTAGCCGATGTGGGATACCAGCACACGCCAAGAGTAACGTGTCCGGCTCTTCCCGAACTCCATTAGGATCAACAAACTCAGCTTGTTTGTTTTCTCAGCTAAAATGAAACAAGATTAAGATCTAATAATTTTTGGTGAAGTGAGCACTCAGTAGTTCAACTGCCATGTTCCCTTAGCAAGCAAAAATAAATGACTATAAATGATGAATAGTCATAAGTTCTCTAACAACAAGGAAGTWACATTCAGAGCCAATGCAGCGGTTTTAACGGGTTTTGCTCTTTTTCTGCTCTTGTGTGCGTACTGCTGCACATATCGTCTTCCAGGATCGGATCACGATGAGGGAAGGAATCCAAACCCAAAATGAATTTGCAAAGATGTAATAAGCATAGTAGTAAAGCGGGCTTGCAGCAAAGTCATCGCCGTCTAAGAGAGAAGTTACGAAGTACACAACCGTTCCATACAGTTGTCCGAGAGAGATGGCTATTTGAAGCAAGTGACTGTACGACTTTCTTGTGGCTATAGCGTACCTGTTAAAATTAGGCCATTAACAAAGGTCAAATGGTGAGGGGAAAAAATAAGCCAAAAGGTATAGAAGCTCCAAGTATAGTAATACTATAGAGAATGAATAACATTTCCATCCTTTATACTTTAGAAAACGCGGAGTCGGCAAAAATTCATGAAAATAGGCAAGAATTGATGAGTATGATGATTATATTTGTGCGTGCTTGCCAACTACGAGGTATATCAAACCAAACAAGCACAATATACATACCCTATGAGGTGGTGGGATGTATGCAGACCTGACATTTGCCCCCAAAGGGTAGAGGGACCATTTCCAAGAAGACCCCTAGATTGTGCAAAGTTTGTGGGAAAAAAAAGGATAAAGCTTGTTGATTACAATGTCTTTTTGCATATTTTGAAGTATAGGTTAAGACGTACATTCCATATACAATGGTAAGAAATGTTGCTATAGATGTATTTCACAATCCTCTCTTGGATTTGCATTCCTATGGCTATTGCACATTCTATTAAAGCCATATCTGTATAGTCATATGGTACTTGGGTTCTGTTTTATCAGCAGCTTAATGAGCTTAATCGGACTCGCAGCTTATTCACTCAGCTATACATGACTATTTGGTAGAAGCTTAATGATATAGAAAATGGCTTATTCAGTAAGCTTCTAGGGTGGAGCTTTATGCAGAAAGCCTAGTTTTTTTTTCCAAATCTCCCCGTGCCAATTAAAAAACATGCTTATTCATCTCTCCCAAACAAAAACCTTCTCAACCTATGCATACAGATTAATTCACACAGACACCCTTATCCATACATAAAATGTGTAGATGAGAATGGATAAGGCCATCAACAACCTTGCTAGACTTGGTTGATCAACATTCRAAATGTGTGGCTACTGTTTCAATCTCATGGACAAGACAATTGATGTAAAGATCCATCAATCGTAGATAAATTTATTTAAAAGTCTGTTACTGTATAAACTCTCTAGATTTTCACCACCAAGGGTTTTAGCACGAATTAAAATCGAGTTTCAGCCTTTTAGCATAGCCTAAAAGATACAAAAAAAATAAAACACAATTTCACTTCAAGATTTCAATTTAGGAAAAGAAAAGCAACATGGGAGTAAATGTAATCATCTGTGAAGAACTTAAAAATGAAGACCAGCTCAAAGAGGTAAGTTTATATAGTACACTAACTGAAAAAAAGGGTACCAAACCAAATAAATGGCCTAGGGAGCAAGAAACACGAGTGTGTTTTTGCAACTAACAGTATCCACAAAGGAAGTCGGTAACAGTTCTTATGAGTGGACCAACGATGCCCAAACCAGCAATAGACATTCCTAGTACTCTCGTCAGGAAAGTTGGTCATGCAAGCTTTTCCATGAAATGCATGTTGCATTCATGGAGCAGGTGAAGGATTTGCCATTCCTTAGCCGGAAAGTATGTGGCAATGGAAGGCAGAAAATCGCCTCCTGTCAGTTGAGCTTGAGAATTCCTCATTCTCTCTAAATAGACCAGCGGCAAATTCAAAGCCTGTGGGAAGTATCCAACCAGTGAAGTCCCTCGGACTTATATCTTGTCCCAGTTGGTTGGTTTGTCCCTAACTCTAGAAGAACACAGTGAGGAGGAGAAAAGGCTATAGAACAGTTAGAGGTTTTAGTCATTTGGATATAAGGGTTTCAATACGAATAAGGCATAACAAAAATGATAAAGGTAAACTACGAGCTATCTGAATGGAGCCTTCACCACTAATGGGACAAGATGAATTAATTGACACCAATAACAGGTGGGCATGTAGATGGTCCAAATATAGACAAAATATCTCAACTGTACGCACCAGGGACCAGAGTCAAATGAAAGYGGTAGAAGATATACTTGAATGTCCAAAACTACAGCGATTTGCTCTATGCTAGAGAATTGTGACTTTGAGTATTCAGGCAATCAGAATTTGTGGAGAACTTTTTCGTTGCATTAGAAGATCATCTGAMGGTCACTGCATCCTTGGAAGGAATGCACCATTTACTTACAGGTGTGTACCTTCTTTAGGAAGAACACAATTATTATTACATATTCGTATCTAAATTCCAAGCAATTCTGAACTTATCTTTTTTTGTYATAAGTTTTTGTACTATTGTTATGGATTACTGTTCTAACTTAGAAGATATATTGATTAAGCAATCATGGGTTTTCCTTACTCCTCTTTGTAGATTGTGCAAACAGATTTTTGAATGAGATCTCATCATTATGCAATAAAAAAAGTACACATACGCAGCTAGAAGGCAAGCTGGACCCTCCAGAACAGCTGTTATTCCTTCAACAGCAACTACCGCCGAATCCCTTCCAACGTATCTGGAGTCACCTTTGCTGTATTCTTTCCCTGTCATTTAAGAGAAAGCACATTCAAAAACATTTTTAGTTTATTAAAATTATCCAGTGCAGAAAAGTATGTCTCCAGAATAAAGAACGTACAAACTTCTGCAAGGTAAGTGGGATTCTTCTGCTTGAAAAATTCTGGAGTGAAAACAAAATAACCCTCAAGGATGATATGGGTGAGGCCAGTGAAAACCCACCAGCACATGAGAGTTTTGTCAAGTTTMGATATTTTAGGAAACCGCCCTGTCCATGACATTAATAATAACTTCCATTAGATATAATCATTTGTCAGATAAAAGGCATTGTGCAATAGTCTAGTACACTTTTTTGAGATTACATTTCTACTAAAAGAGGAAGAATACCCTTGTTATGATTGGTAAGAAATAAAGAATATAATCCAAGTCTATATAAGTAAAAACTAAGGTTCTAAATGGCGTGAGGCGTGCGTGGCGGCGAGGTCAAGCCTCAAGCCTTACGACTTACGGCGAGGCCATGGCGTTTTCTAAGGCGTGGCTTAAGGCCACAAATCTATATATAACAATGATATGGAATATACAAAGTAAGTCACTGTTTATAGTCCCTGTTTGGTAATCAAACAACAAAATCAAAGTAATAGAGCAATATTTTTAGGATACCRAAAAGTAATTTAGGGTTTTCTCCCTTTCCTCGTTTTGTTGATTTAACTATTTGGTCCCTAAAAACTACAGTGTTATATTTACATCTACTCTTATTCAAGTTCTAAAAATTGCAAATTTCCTCCCACGCAATAACGCCCCATGGTAAAAATTGCAAAGGGGGTTAACATGGCGGCAAGGCTGCGCCTCTGCGCCAAGGCGCGTTTTTTAGAACATTGGTAAAAACCAAAACCCTGCAACTGGAACGAGATCAACTAAAAACTTGTTACCTAGACTATTGAATGCAATCACAACCTATCTGCTGGAACTCCTATAAATTTACAAATTACCAAAAATATTTGAATYGGGATTTTGTGATTGAATGCATACAACACCTCATTGATATTAACATTAATACTTCAAAAATAGGAAATTGAAATTGAACATAAAGATGTCACAAATCCCCGTTTCTATCATCAAACCATTACTCCCTCCATTTGCAGAAAAAGTTAGTCACTTCTGATTCAAATTTCATATACATCAAATTAGCAAGTCATTGATCCAAAGTAATTATGTTTAGCCATGAAAGTCAAGCAGTACTCTCTCCATTCCCGAAACAGTCTAGATTACGACTTACAAGGTCAGATGTCAAACAAGTGATTTATCAACTTCAAAAGTTTTCTGGATCTCTAACATGAAGTACAACATATAAAAWGCTGTTGGTCTTACAAATTGCAAAAAACTAAAGAACTTCCGATAAGCAACTTATCCAAAAAATACCATGTCTGACCACACAAATCAATATACAGTTTCCTATGAACAGGCATGATAAATTAGCCACACAACGAAAAAGTGTATGTGAAAGACTAGAGAATACGTCATAAAATTGTATGAATACAGAAGATCTTTGTTGACATCATATAATCAAAAAAAGAAAATGCATGTATAAAAAATAACAGATTCAGAAGCGAAATAACGATAAAACTAGGGATTTAAACTGAAAATTTGAAATTGAATTGACTACCGGCGAGGATCCAGATGAATGAGACGACTAGGAAGGAAGCGCAGCCATAAACAGCGAGAATGGTAGATTGGGAGAGGATGATTGGTACATAATCCGGTAGAATGAGATCTTTAGGAATGAAAGGATGAATCGATTCCGATGCCTGAATTCCGGCCATCTTTCCACTGTTCCACAGCAGAAACTGAGAGCACCTCCTCAGCAGAAAGTCAACTTCGGAAGGTCTCCGATTCAGACGGCTAGTTTGAGTGTCCCCTCCCCCCTCTTTGTTAGTGCAGATTTTACTAAAAATTGGATTGTTTGGGATTGTTTATAAAAATAATTTATTGATTTATTTTTATATTATATTAATAATAAGTATTTTTGAGAGTTTGGATAAATAATTTATATTGGTGTCAAACTGGTAATAAGAAGTTTTTGAAAAAGTTAAACCACTTATAATAAGTTGATAATTACTTTTATAAAAAATAAGTTGTTTCAAATAAGTAATCTCAAACACCCCCTTATTACTGTTTTCCATTTCCATATGCAAATTAAAAGAAGCAAAAATAGTTTAATTTTACGACATGAATTATATTATTAAAATATTTAATATATTTTATAAAATATTTTTTTTATATATTTAATTTTAAAGATTTTTATTTATTAATAATAAAATATAATTATTTTATAAGTAATTATTTATAGAAAGTTTTTTTAAATTTAAAGAATATAAGGGACTGTTTAATAATTGTTGAATGGTTTGGTACATAATAATTAAGAGACTCTCATGATATAGTGCAAAATAAAATATAATTGTTTGGTAATTGTGTACAATAAAATTAGGGTTCTTAATGGTTAACAGAGATCCATGATACAAAATCATTTAGAGGATTTTAGAACCATTAAAAGACAGACTTTTTTTTTGTCAAACAACATTCATCTTTTAACGATTCAGATGTTGTCTCTTAAATGAAACTATTAAGAGGTAAACAAACAACCCTTAATATTTTTTCTCTTATTTTATTTATTTTAAAGAAATTTTTTAAAAATATATATTTAAACAAAAATCCTCCTCAAAAAGTCTCTAATTATGAGAATTTATGGGAGATGCTTCGTAACCAAAAAGCAACTACTTTTTTTAATTTTCATAAATAATTAATTAATGCATT